AACAAATATAAACAATAAGAGCAAATAACTACTAACAAGAAGATAGCAATTGAAAGTAAACGAATCAAATAAATATTGTAGCTTACTATCGGGTTAGTGGTACTACAGTTAAACAAATAAATATAATTGTTGAAAGCAAATAACTATAGAAATTAAAATGGATAGTTGAATGTATATAAACAATAAAAGTATATGGCAGTTACACTAGTGGTGTGTACCTGAACAACAACTAGAGAGAGAGAGGACCAGCCACTAGCTGAGAGGAGCAGCTACAAAATGGGTAGTTGTATGAAGGATTAACTACTCCTATATGATCAACTTGAGATTCAAGCAGTTGTGAGCTACTACTAGAATCTCAATGACAAATTAATTGTTGAAAGTAAATATACACTTGAACAATAAAATTGCAATGAAAGTAAACAATCGTAAAAGTATAGTTAGTAGGGTTATTGATGTTAGTAGCTCAATAACTGCACCAGATGATCATGTTTCTTATAGATCTAAAGAAAGAAAGAAAAAAAAAATGTATGCAAGATCACAAGGATTCAAGTTATTGCAATTATGAGAGAATGTTAGTAAAGTTAATAACAAATAAATTGCAAAACTTAAAGAAAAGAAACACACACACAATATTTTTATAGAGGTTTATCCAACCCTACCTATATCCTTTATCTTAGACCACCACTGAGGATATCCATTAACCAATTAGACTTCTTGGGTGCCAACAAAACCTTTATAACCAATAGGACTTCACAAGTTTCTACAAAAATTAAACCAGTTGGACTTCACAAGTGTCAACAATACCTAAACCAATAGGACTTTCACGTGCATGCGAGACCTTATAGTTGGGCTTAACAAAGGTGCCAACGAGACTTTAATAATGTTCAAAAACTAGAACACCTATTTGCTCACAAGATAATACCGAATTTTAGCTCATGCATGTTTACAGTAAAAGAGGCCTCTAAATATATAGATATAATTAGTTTTCCATCATTTCACCTTCTTTTGCTAAAATTTTTCTCTTTTTATTTTCAATAAATCTTCTTTAAAATTGGCATAAAATTGCATCTCATACATCCTTTAGGTTGCAGTTGTAGTGGTTGTTAGCATATTAGTATCATTAGTAGTTATTGGCTCTATGTTTTGCACCTAAGATAGCCACTAGCACCATAATTTTCAAAGACAATTTTTACCATTCTCTTCCCTCATATTTTCCTTAGTTTATTTTTTACATTTTCAACATAAAAATCACTGCATTTCTTTTCTTATTTCTTAGAGAACTCATTCACATTAGGGTTCATTGATAGCTTTGCATTTTTCTCCTTTGCATTTGTTTTTTTTCCTTCCCAAGTTTCTATTTTGCACTTGTTGACAATCCTAAGACATCTTTTTTCTTTGCATTTAGCCATTAAAATCACTATTTTTTTTAGTTTCATCATTTAATATTCATTCCTTAGAGCATCTACTATATATATGAGGCTTTCGACATCTTTCTATTGTTTTTTTTTCTGCAAATTAGTTCATGCCTTTTAGGCTTCAAATGGATAATCTTTAGTTTATGTTTAACTTGACATTTTATCTCTTAATTTCATTTGTTTGTTATTTTGTTTGCTTGGTAGATTTTTATTTTAACCTTAGTTTTTAATTGGGCATTTGTAGGTGCTAACATCTTCCCACAATGTACCCTAGATCCTGAATTTGGAATCTTTGGTTACCTTTGGGTGAATCACTAGGAAAATTGGTTTTTAGTTAAAATTTAGATTTTCCTAAACTCCTTTCTCTAAAATATTAAGTGCCAACTCCAACATTTCACTTTAGAGGAAAAAAGAGTGGGGGTATCCAATATTTCACTTTGAAGCACAACTTTTGAAGTTACTTACTTTTAAATCTTCTTCATCATATTAGGTAACTTCATTTGCTTGCAACACAAACAACTTGCTTAAATATCTTGATCTTAAACCATGAGTATTATGCATTCATCTTTTCTTTCACATTCATTAAGGTGTAACTTGAGAAGTATTGAGACATAACTTTATGGTACATTTGTTATCATCAAAACATATACAATATTGACCCATAGTCAACATATAGAACACACAAAATTAATATATCATCTACAAAAAGCAAATGGTTGATCTTGCAACCACTAGAACCAAATCTTACACCTCTTAGCCTGTCATCAGAAGCAATTGAGAAGAATGTGAGATAAAACATTTGAACAGAGAATGAATAAATATGGAGAAAGTCAACAACCATGCCTTAATCCCTTTTAAGGATTAATATGTTCATAGGGGACACCACTGAGCACCATAGATATTGAAGACTAATATTTATGGATAAATCTAAGAAAGATTGAGAGAACCCACACAAATGCAATACTTTAAGGACAAATCTCTAATCATTTTATCATAAGTTGTCAGCAGGTTAATCTTTAGTAAGAAATCTTCACTTGACCATTCATCTTCTCAATAAAGTGAATCATTTTAGTGGCAATAATGCGGTTGTTAGTCATATGACTTCACAGGGTGAAGGTATTCTACATGGGAGTGAGGCGATGTAGAAGACTCCTTAATCTGAAAGTGATAATTTTTGCTACAACCTTATAAAGCACATTTATGAGTCTAATGAGCTTGAAATCCATCGCTTCCTCCACTCCATCTTTTTTGCAGAATTAACACCACATTTGTTTAATTGATATCTTTGAATTTGTGTGGGCTTAGAAACACATCTTGAATAAAAGTAACCAAATCATTTTGGAGAAGAGGCCAAGACTTTAGATAGAACAATGAGGATCTGCCATCCAAGTTTGGAGCCTTAATGGGGCCCAATATTAAAAGTATTTATAGTGGCAATGTCACAGAGAATAGCATCTCTCATTAGGGTTGATGTGTCACATGACACAACCATATTAGAATGCCCATCAAAAGTGGGATTTCTATAAGTGATCATTGATGAATATTAAACTAAAATCATACCTTCAATCTCACTAACATCACATAGAATCCCAATGGTTCTTTCCATTCTCAAATATAAGCCTTCTTCCTCAAGCACATGACTACCCACTCTCAAAAGGGTGAAAGTAACTTATTTTACTCTCAAAAAAAAAAGACAAACATTTGGCTACCTATGAAAAAAAAACTTATTAATTTCCTAGCTCAAATAAAAAAAAAAAAACTTATTATAAATACTTTGAATGGTGTGGTTCCTATTGTTTTAGATAAAATAGGTTATTAATTACAAACTTCATTTAATTTTTAAAATTAAATAAAGAATTCAAATCAGATATATTAGATAAATAATTATAAAAAGGTAAACAGTGAATCTCAAATAAAGAAGGTTACAATTTACAAATAAAACCTGATCTATTAAATCAAACAAAAACATAAATACATTGATAATGGGTGTTAAACAAAGTAGGGCATAATAGTGGCCCCTTACTTACTATGGGATGGTTATTGTCTAATAATTGTATAACAAAACCTTTAGGTTCAGTTTGGAAGGAGTACAAATGCAAATATGTAGAGTGAAAAACCTTATATTTTGTATATTTTATATATATTTGCACTGTACATATTTGCATTTGTACTCTTTCCAAACTGAGCCTTAGGGGGACCCTTTTTTTGGATTTTGAGAGGGGGAAGTTGGTCAATGGGATTTACCAAGAAACCCATGTTCTTTTTTCAGATTTATGTGGGGATCAAGGAAAATTTATTTTCCTGAGTACCACTTAGATAAGTGATACCCATCTCTTAGGTGGGTAAATAACTATCCCACTTGGGGGAAAGTTGCCAACACTTGAATGAGACAAAAATGCCCCTTTTAATAATGGAATTTTATGGCTAAAATGGTCATTGCCTTATTTAACTTATGAAATAAAAGAATATGAGTAAATGCACTTACTCAGGTAAGTAATTTACCAAAAAGCGAATGGGGTCTTAGGGGGCATTCTTTTTTTGGATTTTGAGAGAGGGGAAAGTTGATCAATGGGATTTTCGTTTCTATTGACCAAGAATCCCATGTTCTTTTTTCAGTTTTATCTGGGGACCAGGGAAAGTTTATTTTCCTGGGTATCACTTACTCAGGAAAGTGGTACCCATCTCCTACGTGGATAAATAACTTTCATACATAGGGAGAAAGTTGCCAACAATTGAATGGGACAAAAATGCCCCTTTTAATAATGGATTTCTATGGCTAAAATCGTCATTGTATTATTTACTTGAGAAATAAAAGAACATGGGTAAATGCACTTACCCGAGTAAGTGTTTCCCAAGAAAAACTTATCTAGGTAATTGCATTTACCTGGATAAGTAACTTACCGAAAAGCGAATGGGGCCTTAAAGCAAAGTTTGATGAACAGATGCAATGCAAGTATCTTGGCTATGAACAAATTGTTTCAAGCTATATTCCTTCACAACGAAGATTAGAGAGGAACAGAATTGGGGTTTTAGATATCTATAATTGAGAGGACAAAACAATAAATGGGTAGTTTAGGACTTTAGGAACCTTAAAGTAAAGTGTAGTTTCTATAATTTACTAATAAAGAAAATGAAAAAAATGCGATGGCTGTGATATATATTGGTGACGATTAATCATGGTTTTTTAACCGTTGTTGATTGACAGTTGGACCACTCACCCTGAAAAACGTCTAAACAACCAGTTCCATTTTACCCTTAATATCGTTCCTTGGCAAAAAACTATTGACTTGATCAGTGACCCATTGACCCAGACGGTTGGACCATCGATTTATTCAACTCAAAAAATGTTTTTTTGCCTTTTTTATTTTAATGATGTTTTTTTAATTTTCTTATCTAATTTTTTAAATTGTATTGTGCCACTGCCATCCGTTTGAATGAATGGTCGAATCACTGATCCGGACCGGTGGTCAAAACCTTCCGGTTCCGGGTCGGTTTTTAAAACATTGCGAATTTGGATTAATAATGAGATAACGCGGCACCGGTGCTGGATGATGATGATCATGGTGGTGGTGGTGGTTGTGACAGTGATGGCAACGATGATGCGGTGGTGATGATAATGCGACCACGATGATGAAAAAGAAGCTTTCTTAACCTCGTAAAAAATGTGTAATATAAAGGGCATTTTGGTCAAATAAAAGCAAGTAAGCGTGCCAGATTCTTGCTCAGGAGAGAGACAGACCTCAGTGCAAGAGAACGGAGCTCTGCGTGTCTCCACAGAGGTGAGAAAGAATCTGAAAAGGAAGCATCAAGAAAGTAAAATTCAGTTGCAGATCCCTTCGAGGTCTAGCGTCGAGCTTTGTATTCCAAATTATCAGAATGCATGGATACCCAAGGATTTGAAACAATTTCAGGAAGGATAAAAGGAGGAAGCAAAACCTAATGGTTTGATAACGGTTACAACTCAAAAACCCTAAAATTGTTCGATAATTGCCATGAATTCAGCGCGTCAGGACTTGTTTGTTGCATACATTAAGTTCCCATATATTGAAACCGTCTGGGTCACAGAATGATTGATGCCCGCGAACGGCATGCAGATGTCTGCCATGGCTCCGTCTCCATTAACGGCGCCTACATCGAACAATCCGCCCTCTTCTTCTTCTCTGAGGTCTCCTCCCACACCTCTGCAATCCCAGCTTCCTTCAACTCTTTCTCTGGGCTTGCTGTCTCTCCCGCCGTCGTCGACGATGGCATCTTCCCATCGTCCTGATCAACACGTCATTGGTCCAGAGCCAATTGCTACCGCACATCCCGCCGGCGATCCTGCTATTGGAGTGGCGCCGCTCGCAAGGGTTCGACTTGCAGACATCTTACCTTATGACGGGGCACCGGCCGGTTCCTATGTTAGGTCCGTGGAGGCACTGTCAGGGTCACTTACGAGGCACAACGCGGTAGTGATCGAGCTGGGAAGCGAGGAAACCACATTGATGCGATGTGCATTAGAGTCTGCAAGACTGTATTTCAGAACTAGAGTTCAAAGTGGCAACACTGGTGGGAGCTGGGGAAAGGGGAGCCGAGGGATCTACATGTACAGGGCTGGAAGGTTGGTACTCAGTTATTCTGAACTAAGATGTTTTACTAAAACACTTCTTTTATTTTTATTTACGTCCGTTGTTTAAATTTTGGTTGAGGAAGAAGTGAAAAATATTTCATTCTGATATTTTTGTTCCTTCTTCTGGGAAATGACTGCGCTTGGAGCTCTACTGTTTGTTAATGGGTTGGGTTGATTGGAGATTGTGTTTTTGTCGTTTATTAAGGGTTCGCCATTTGCTAGAAGTTACTGTTGAATTACATACTTGATGGACCAAGATGGTTTACTAATGTGATTCAGTCAGTTGAGGATAGTCGTTTGCCAGTAAGAATGACGATGGTAGCTCCCTGTTCGTCTGGCAGTTTTCAGGAATGCTTAATGCAGGATCTGGATCTGTACCTCCATCCACATCTAGCTGAGCTCCTTGACTGTTGTTGGGTTCTGTCACCTTCCGTTCTCCAGTTGATTGTCACTTGGACCTCAAATCTTTTCATTAATCATTACTCTTTGTTGCCTTGTCCTGTTTCGACTCGTTATTAGTCTCATCTTTGGCATTTCTGTCTTTTTTTATCATATTCCTTGTTAAATATCTTCCATATATCTATTATGATTATCTTCTTTGGCTCCTCTATATTCTCTTCTACATCATCGAAGTCCCCTTTTACATCAAAGGTAAAAATTACTTGCTTGAAGATATTTCAGGTCCAGGAAATGCTGTTGTAAGTTGGAGGATGTATTTAGTTTGAGTAGAACATCTGCATAAGATGGGTTGTTTTGATTGAAATCCGAAGAAACAACCACAAGTATTATTATTTTGGTTAACTGAGTCTGGAATTGAGTGAGGCCTGTAGTAAAAAGGCCATCTGCAACCTAGAGGGTCTGGAAGATTGCAGTTGGGCCCTCACATCTCAGGAAAGTGGATTTAATATATATCCCTTTTTAAAATTAAATCAACAGAAATGGAAAATTAACTGGGTCATAGTGCTATGAAGCAGTAGACCATAGAAGTTCATGGAATGCATACTTCTGAGCAAGGGTGCTGGAGGAAATTTGGTTTTTGGTCTTAGTATGACTCTTTGAAAGGTTGCTGGAGGAAATTTCAACCAGAAAAGCACTTTTGAATTAGGAATTCTTTTGTCCAACCTCTACTATAATCTCCCCTTGAGCCTTGATCTGGTTCACAATGAAATCAAAGGCAATTTTTCTTCAGTTGTACAACAAGAGAGCAGAAGAAAAAACAGCCTTTTGAGAAGAAATGACTGTTTAGAAAGTTGCAAAAATTCAAAAGAAAGTACCATAAATCAGAGTTCAAGAGGAGAGAAGAAGAAGAAGAAGGTGGCGACAACTTGGGTTCAAAGAGAGATTTTCGAACATAATCTCTTCTCTTACTCCCTTAATTCTATTTCATTAAGTTAAACTTTAGTAATTTACAGAGAAGCCCCTAGTTGGGCAGAAAATTAAAAAGACATAACATAAGAAAGAAAAAAGCCCAGATTAAGGCCCATTACAGCAAAGAACATAAAAGATAAAAAATGATAAACAACCTATGGGCCATTCGGCCCATYTTCTCTACACTCCCCCTCAAGCTGAGCATAGATATCAATCATGCAAAGCTTGTTAGTATCATGCTGAAGTTTAGCCTTGGGAATGCCCTTGATGAGGAAATCTGCTAACTGTCTTTCAGAGGTGATGAAAGGTAGACACACTTCTCCAGAAGCCACTCTTTCTCGAATGAAGTGTCTATCAAGTTCAATATGCTTAGTTCTGTCATGTTGCACTGAGTTGTGAACAATGTTGATGGCGGCCTGATTATCATAGTATAACATCATTGGCTTATTATGCTCAATACCCAATTCCTCCATCAAGGATCTAAGCCACAGTAGTTCAGAAACACCATGAGCTATGGCTCTGTATTTTGCTTCGACTGAAGATCGAGCAATAACTGATTGTTTCTTGCTTCTCCAAGAGACAATATTATCTGCCACCAAGCTACATTACCCAGAGGTAGATCTTCTGTCATCAATGTTTCCGGCTTAGTCAACATCTGTGTAGGCTTCAAGTTTCATATGGTCATGCTTAGCAAATAGAATTTCCTTTCCAGTGGAGCCCTTCAAATAACACAAAATCCGCTCTGCTGCTGCCATGTGAGTATCCTTGGGAGCATGCATGAACTGACTGATGCAACTGACAACATATGCAATGTCTGGCCAAGTCATGCATAGATAAAGAAGTTTTCCAAGTAGTCTTTGGAAGATTCTCTTATCTTCTAACAATATTCCATCTGAAGCAGAGAGTTTATGGCTCATATCGATAGGAGTAGCAATTGGTCTAGCACCCATCTTCCCTGTTTCAGAGAGCAAATCAAGAACATACTTTCTTTGAGAGATAAGGATCCCATCCTTGGATCTAGCAACTTCTATGCCAAAAAAATATCTCAATTCCCCTAGATCTTTGATCTCAAACTCTGTATGGAGGAAATATTTGAGATCATTAATCCCTAAGACATCATTATCAGTCACAACAATATCATCAACATACACAATTAGGTAAACGACCAAGGATCCTCTCCTCTTCACAAAGATGGTATGATCAGACTGTGTCTGTACATAGCCAAAGCTAATAAGGGCAGCCCTAAACCTTTCAAACCATGCTCTAGGGGACTGTTTGAGTCCATAAAGAGATTTCTTCAGCCTGCAGACCTTTCATATCTGTTTCATATATCCCTGGAGGAAGAGACATATAAACCTCCTCATGTAACTCTCCATTCAGAAATACATTCTTTACATCCAGTTGATAAAGTGGCCAATCTGAGTGTGCAACCAAAGATAGCAAAACTTTCACAGAAGTCATCTTGGCAACAAGGGCAAAGGTCTCCAGATAATCAATCCCATATGTCTGTGTATAGCCTTTTGCAATCAGCCTAGCCTTGTACCTTTCAATGGTGCCATCAACATGATATTTGATAATAAAAACCCACTTACAACCTACTAGATATTCCCTTCAGGCAAATCAACCACTTCCCAAGTGTCATTCTTGTGCAAGGCATCAATTTCTGTTTTCATAGCATCCCTTAATTTTGGAATATTAAGAGCTTCTGACACATACCTGGGAATTGGGTTAGAAGCAACAGAAGAAAGGTAGGCAAAATATGAAGGAGAGAGCAAACTATAAGAAAGGTGTTTGGAAATGCAATGTGTAGTACACTTCCTTTTTTCTTTCCTAATAGCAATGGGGATATCAAGGTCTAAGAAGGATGGCTCCAAAGGGGCTGTAATAGTACCTGTTGTCTCATCTGTAACTGGAAGTGCATGAGGCTCATGTGTTGTATGGGAAACAATCTACTCATTTCTGGTTCTCTGTCGTTGGTACAACTTGGGATTAAAAAGAGGGTGAGGAGGTAAAGGAGGAAGAATAGGAACACTGGAATGAGAATGAAGTGACTGATCCTCCCTTGACTCATTTGAATGAGGAAGATACTCTACAAAAGACTCAACTGGGACAGGAAGAGGAAAAGCAAACACCTGTGACAAATCCTCCCCCTTTGGACAAGGTCTCTCTAGAGAAGAACCATAAAAGGAAGAAAGCTCATCAAAGGTGACATCCATTGAGACATATCGAGTGTCAGTCTTTGGATCAAAACAACAGTAACCCTTCTATGTGGGGGAATAACCAAGGAAGATACACTTGTGGGCTTTTAGTTCAAATTAATGTCTTTGGACAATTGGAATATGTACATAACAAGTGCAGCCAAAGACATGAAGAGGAATAGGAAATAGATCATTATCCGGATGAAGAAGACTGAAGTGAGACTTAAACCCTAAAACCTTGGATGGCATACGGTTTATAAGGTAGGTAGCAATGAGAACAGCACCACCCCAAAATTTTGTAGGGACATGTGAGGCAAATAGAATACTTATTGCAACTTTAACAATATGTTTATTTTTTCTTTCAGCAACTCCATTCTGTTATGGAGTCCTAACATAGGAGTTTTGATGAATAACTCCTAAATCAGTGAGATAGCATATCAGGTTTTTCTCAAAATATTATTTTGCATTGTTGGATCTGAAAATTTTAATTCTAGTATCAAACTGGGTTAGGACAAATTCATGGAATTGCCTCACAAGTCTGGGAACTTCATCACGAGACTTCATAAAAAATATCCAAGTGAACCGAGAAAAGTCATCAATGAACAAGATAAAATATTTGTAGCCACCCATAGAAGGTAAGTGGTAAGGCCTCCACATATCAGAGTGCACAATATTAAAAGGAGAAGAAGATCTTTTATTACTCAAAGGGTAATTGTTTCTACAATGTTTTGACAGTTCACAAGACTCACAATGAAGACGGGACAAACTAATTCCCTTAAACCGTTCTGAGAATAAATGATTTAATGCAGAAAAAGAAAGATGACCCAAACGAAAATGACGTAACATGACTCGACTGATGGACTCTGTAGATGTAGACCCAAAAGCAACTTTTCCAGGTTGTTCATGGCACTGTCCAGGAGTATCCAACAAATATATTCCATTCGCCTCACGACCACTCCCAATCACCTTCTGAGACTCCAGATCCTGAAAAACACAATAGGAAGGGAAGAAGGTTACACAACAGTTTAATGACTTAGGCTACTTACAGATAACAAGTTTGTATTTAGTCTGGCTACATGAAGAGCATACGGAAGAATCAATGAGTTTGATGGTTCCCTTGCCGGAGATAGGAGCAAGAGAGCCATCGGTTAGGGTGATTTTGTCACGTTCAGGAAGTAAATCATATGAAACAAACAAAGTAGAAAGGCTGGTCTTATGATCAGAAGCACCAGAATCAATAATCCAAGGGATCCTACGATTACCTGAAATGGTTGCATGATTGGCAGAAGCCCATATACCTGAATGAGCAAATGCAGAAGAGGTTTAATTTCTTGGAGGGTTGGAAGAAGAGGTCACACCCTCTAGGTGATTGATCATCCTCTCAAACTTCTCATATTCTGCCTTCATAGCTACTAACTGCTCACT